CTAAATTCGAACAAAATGCTAGCCCTACTTTCTGACATTTCATACAAAAGACGACAGTTTACGTGATAATGACCCCACGAGTGGCCAAAATGTCGTTATAAAGTTAAGAAAATTAAATAATTCACTAAAAAGGTGTATCTCTGGACTTTTTAAAAAATAAAGAATACAGTGGATTTCCTCCCCTTACAACAAATGTTTTATTTTGTTTTTTAATTTATCTATATAGATTTATAATAGGAGATTTTGTAGTGAAGTCTAAGATAGAAGCTGTTTGTTCAACGTTGAAAATATATGTGGGTTTAGGCACATTGTCCTCCTTCATGTTAGTCTTAGTGTAAGCAGTTTTCTACGTGTTTTAATAAATACTATGCTAAGCAAGCGATCACGCTGTGCTGAGTATTTGGATTGTATTGATAGCAGCGAAAGTATATTGTGTAACGCACTATGTGACGAGTAAATACGTATACGGATACTTTGAAAATTAGGAAATTTCTTGTAGCTTTTCACATAAGCAAAGTTTTAAACTCTTTCGATGTGATTCGTTTGTGCTTGTTTAAAAGTCGTTCTTAAGGTATTAAATGTTTAGCGGATTATATATTTAAAACTGCAGAATACGCAAGAATCTTATAAACTGATATAAGAAAATAAGTCACGTTTTCTTTAAATAGTTTTCAAGCATATTCTATGTTTTCGTCTGATAAAATAAATTGTAAAATACAATAAACATTGACGTATACAAAGTGCTAATTACACCTCATAAGAACGACTTGCACATACTAATGCAATGTCATGTCGCTGTAGATTCAGCCGTGACGTCACGGGCAACATGTAAAACTTCTATATATTTGGGTTACAGTAACTTTCCATCCAGTTTATGATAAGTGTCGTTACAGATAGGCTAGGGGAGATTTTTCACAGCCATTTTTCTGGAAGAAAATAGCAAGATTGTTAAATAATGTCCTACCAGAAGACATGGCGTTTCAAAGAAGAGAACGTTCAGTGTTATCTGTAAAAAAAACAAATCACACAGCAGAAGGTATAGAACAGTAAGGAACTCTGAAACCGCTCTCTAATCCAATACATAGCATTGCTCTCATCCGTAAAGTGAGGGCTAGTTAAGGTTTCGAAAGTGAATCCTATGAGAATTTAAAGATGGCGACAAGTCAAAAGTTCACAAGTTTCCAACCATATCTCGAAATCAGCAACAATTTCCATAAGAAGACTAGCCAAAGAGATTGGGCTCACAAGAATCCCATTCTACTGCATATCTGTTAAGTTATCCTATTCAGTTCCAATGCACTTTTCAGCACTTGGTCCGCTTTAATGTGGTCTTGGAAGCAGTATCTATGGAATGTTTGCCAAGATGGGTTACTACGACTGATCTGATCATCCATTGCAGAAGCGTGTTACAATATAAATTATGGCCACCAGAGTGAGCACGATCGACGACGATTGAAGTAGTTCCAAGGGTAATCCAGATCTTGAGCATAGTTCTCATAAAACAAATAATGATAATTTTATGTGGTAAAGATTAAAACAAAGTATATCAATTGCCATTTGAAATATACTGACGTAGATAGATTATTATGTCTCCACAAAGAGGCATACTGTTTTTCCATTGTTTCTTATTTTTCTTCTTCCAAACACTTTTCAATCGACCGCCATTTCTTGGCAGACTGACTTGAAACTTTGTGGGATCATACCTCCCCAGACACGTTTTTCATTTCTATTTTTTATTTAGGCCTTTCTAAGGACATTATGGAGTCAAGCAACCCAAAAATGCATATTTTGAGCTCCTGTAGGGTCATTTACAGCAATCAACATGAACATTGGCACAAATATAAATTTTCATGCGCCCAACATATTTACATACAAAAAGTTGGTTTGCTCATTTTGATTCTTTTTAGGGGGTCAGAGCTTACAAAAAATAACATAATTTTGGAGTTTTTGGTCAATTACTCGGCCATATTTTGACCAATTTACATGGAATTTAGCAGAACGATGCTCTTCTACAGGCCTCACAAAAACTAACAAAATTGGTGGACTTGCTTATTTTTAATAATTATAGGGGGTCAAGATGCCACAAAAAGCACAATTTAAAGGTTTTTTGTTTTTACAATTACTCCGCCGCATTTTGGCCAATTTACATGGGGTTTGTACAAAGATCCTTTTACATCCCCATATACATACATACAAAAATGTGGGCTATGCCCATTTTTCGTCATTTTCTGGGATAAAAGGTAAAAAAAGCATTATTTTAGGGGTTTGGTTTCACTTCTTGACCATATTTCGACCAAATGTACGTAGAATTTAGTACAAAGATACTTTTTGCAGATCCCAAGCAGAGATATAGACAATTTTGGAATTTATGTCTTTTGCTAAATTTTTCAGCGAGGAAACCACAATTTGGGGTTTTCGTGAGCTATTAATGTATATGTCAACCAACTTACATGGGCTTTGGTACAAAGATAACTCATTGCAGGTCCCAAGCAGTGACATAGACAGTTTTTGATTTTTTTTTATGTTGGCCTCTTTAATTTAATATATTATACCTACATAAAATCATAAAATGTACCTTTATAATTAGGCAATAGAAAGAAGTTAATACAAGTATCTAAATTTAATATTGTACTTAGATAAGTAAAGGCATCAAGTGTACTTTTACACCAATACAGCTAAAACAAATTGATACCAATAGATTTATTGATTACATACTTACATAAACAAAAATGTACTTGTACATCAAAGCAAATCATCTAAGTGGATACAAGTAAATATATTTCATTTTATGCTTTTCAATGGTACTTTTACAACGAAGATTCATAACCAACATTACTATATGTATTTTAATTTTTTACATACCTTAATGTGTAAGGACATAGAATGTTACGTTTTCATAAGTAATGTTTATAAGGATAGTTATAACTATTGATTTTAATATAGTGATATTCTTTAACTTTATGTCAGCTGCGATATATGGTTTTTGGTGTTAGATTTATGTTAGTAAGAACCTCCACATTACTTACTTGTATCACTATACATTTAGCTACTTAAACTTACTTTAATATATTTTCCAACTTTTTAAAATGCTTTTGATTATTGTTTTATATCGAGGAAGATTAACAGAAACTCAAAAAAATAACAACTTCATCCGCGTAATTATATATATATATATAATTATATCTCTATATGTTAACAAAAAAAGCATGATAGCACTAAATGTGTTGAAGTTCCTGGATAATTGGAGGCACTACTACGATATATATACATATATTTGCTCCATGCTACTTAAGGTCTCTAACACTATGTAATTATTTAATCAACAGCTCGTCTTTGAAGTGGCCACAAGATGAACTTTTTTCTAATTGCCACCACTTATTTTTCAATCCACTCACGTTTTCTGACTACTGAAGCATGGACAAAGAATCAGACATCGTTGGCCGAATGACCATATGAAATCATCAAATCGAAGATCTTGGTTAAATATTGATTGAGAGTTCCAGTTGTTTTATACACAACTCAATAACTTTAGTAACTGTTATTTTCTGACTGCACTTGGGTCACATTTTTCTTCCAAACATCAAGAAATGATGGTGCTTAAGACGACCCATAATTTCGTTCTCTAAGATGTCTTCCTTCAGGACCAATACGAAAACAGACAAATATTGTCGTATGCTATAACCTTCTATTACTGTATAAATTATAAAATAGTTTATAGTATTGTTAGATGTAAACAAAGTAATATGAACGTAGCGAGGTCGAAGAAATCGGTCGATTCTCAGTGTTTGGAAATGCATGCAATTAACATTATATAAAAAATTGATTGCTCTTATATTACAGCAAACTCAGTCGGTAGAATACAGTTTGGGCATCTAGGAGCGTGTGCAGCCTTCAGCTTTCGTAAGGGTAAGCGATTTATTTCTCCAGAAACATCGAGGACAAAAGGATAATCTAAAGATAAGTTATGTTAACCAGAATAATCCTGTATCGTCTAACTTTTCTGAGACTTTAGGCCATATCTTATGACATTTACCGTGGCATAATCTTATCTCCTAGCATGAGAACTCTGCTAGACGAGCTGGATTATCACAGGATAACAATTCGACAAACAAAATTGCATTTTCATTAGTACCCGAGAATATCAATTCACCATCTGCAGAAACATTTTTCAGAAATTAAATAACCAGCTTATTTAACTTTGTTATCATCTTAAAACGAAAAACATACCACGACAAATTGATCATTATTCCTTCTAAATGAATCGAAAATTTAGTTTACTATGTAGTGTAACCCAACTGACCATATCAAAATATGAAAAAAACATTAAAATATGCGAGATTAAAGGGGTAAAGGTAGACAGAATACAGGTCTACCTGTACAAAGCGTTGCAGTTTTATGTTTAATAAGACTTACCAAAAGTTTTCTCCTACGAATTGTTTTATACTATAATGAACAGGCTTAGCGATTATATTGTACATTGGGAACTAGTCTTGATTTTACTAAAATATAAATATTATATAGGAATCTAACTATACTTAAGAAAGAAGCGTTGTTTTTTTTTTTTTTTTTTTTACTGAATCACACCATTAAATCCCCCATACTTTCTCTATGATTTCCTGATCTCATCGGGATTTAGGTCTCTGGGGTGTTAGTCTGACTTTTTTCCTCACTCCTGAACTATTGTTAGTTGTTGACCTTTTGTTTGGTTATTAGGTAAGCTGGTTCGATTTGTTTTGGTTTACTGTTACTACCTTCCTTTTTAGGGTCATGTCTGTTTATTTTGTCTGATTATGTATTAGCTAGTATGATTATTGTAACTGTGTAGTTGTGTTCTGAGAGATTTGTGAATTTACAACTAATTGTATTATATGAGGATGTTAAGGTGTAAAGTGTTGAATAGCGATTTTTTATGACTAATGTAATACAGTCTTCTTGATTTTGAGGGTTTCGGTGTTATTTTATGAATTCGTAAAACAAGAATATGATTTTCTGCAACTTACCTTTCAATACGTTAGACTCACACTGCCACTCTCGGCAGCAGGCACCTGGCACATGCACGAGTTGCGCATTGTGACACTTGGCCGAAGGACGGAAGTTTTCGAGAGGACAAAGTGACACACAGCCATAAGTTCCATTTTGACAGGTGCACTGGGTCTTACAGTCCAGCTTGAAGGAATCACCATCTCTGTATCTGTTTCCTGCCACATAACAACTCATTCCTTTCTTTGCTGCACAAAAGATATTAACATTATGAAGATGTTTCAAATAGTACAAAAATCAAAAGTCTTGACAAACTATGATGAATTAGAGATAAAATCATGCAATTTTAAAACACTTAACCTACGAACTTGAAAATACATTTTATTTTGGAAAAAAATATTATAATATCAAAAAGTAGAAATAAAAGGGCACTCTCTAGTAAAAACAAAAATGCCACTTTGTAGAGCATATTGCAAAAAACAACAACGACAAAAAACAAATTATCATTAAATAAAAAATAGAGCTAGAAACTTGAGCACACTGAATACTGTAAACAGGTGTATAATGAACTTGTAATATCGAAAATAGAAAATTATATTAGAATGTTGGATCTTCACCTCATCGTTACAGTACAATTCACCAAGCCCGGTCAAGCTCTATCTGACGACTGTACATTTTGACAATAGGTTTTACAACGTAATTCCCATTGCAAAATGCTCCGTCGTAAGGTTTTCACGTCCAAAGAACACTCCTCCTCCCTGCTGCTTTCCATAAGCCATCTAGTGTACGAGGACGACGGTTTCCCACTTCCCGTTTGAAAAATCCGATCACACAGAAATCCAAAGGTGCCGTGTATCCAACGATTTGACCGGTATGCTTCGTATATAATGGCAGGAATACCGGTTTCATTCTCCAGCAAGCTGAAAGCCATTTGTGTACATGTGACTTGTCTCGATTTATCAGAAGGAGTTTTTTCGGAATATGTTGTGCACTGTAGTTAGGGGCGCATGGACAGATATAGCCATTGATCTTTGTGTTCGTTCAGTCTCACCTGTTACAAGATGCCTCACGTTTCTTACCACGAATGGGGTACTACTTGTTGCAGGTCTATTTCTGGATGGCTATAGTGTCCTAAGTTTATTCGTATTCTTTTCTTTTTTTCTCAATACCATTAAGTACACCACAATATATATCCGTTTTGGAAATTATAAATATTCAATATTCATTATCTGAATGTATGACTATTTTGCGTCGGAAAGGGTTGTTACGTACCCTTCCCAAAAGTGATCAATTTGCAGTGGCTTGATACTACCTACATAACTCCAGCCAATGTCAGCATACAGTACCAATACTTGCCGATTCACCCTGACTTTATGTTTTCTGTGGATGTCACGTGAACTACTGATTTTTGTCACACTTGAAATTATTATAACGTACTCAACCCTCTTTACACAGTAAGAAGTAGAACACTGTTATTCCTGTAGCTGTAAAACTACGAAAAATGCAAATATGTGGTATGTTATTGAAAAAGGTACGGTAACACGCATAAAATTAAGATTAAAATGTTAGCCTGCATGGAGACAAACAACATTCATAAAAATTTCAATTTTCGAATATAAAGTTTCATTGAGTAACAAAATATTAAAATAAAATTGAAAATGTGATACCTTGGCTACGTATAACATTATCACTTGAAATAACAATCAAAACTCCTGTAAATTAAAACAAACTGTAGACAGATAATTTAAGAATATATCAACTGACCATCTTGGAACGTGATCATTTAATTGAAACTAAATTCAAAATCTTAGGAACCAGCAACAACGATGAAGCAAAAAAGAAAGGTTTAAAAGATTTATGAGTGCATACAATGTAAAATTTGAATCTGTAACAGACACTTCGGCTGCATAGTTTTCTTCCTGTTGATACGAGATATAAGAAAATACAAAAATATTCCAATTCATTTACGCAGAAAAACAAAAAAAAGCGTCTCTGCTGTAAAACTGAAAGTACTATTTTATGTGGTGTTCCTGTGTAGATTTTATGTGAACCAAATTTTGATTGGTTCTATTTAACAGTATGAAAGTTAACCTGAAATCTTTCTGTTAAAGTAAGAGTTTACCATCGAATATCATTTATATAAAAAGAAACTCCTTTGATGTTAACAAAAAACAACATTTAATGGAATTAAAATTAATTTACGATAGAGAAAACTCACCAGTAATTAATTGCAAATTAAGTTTCAGTGACGTGTCTTTTTAATTCATACTGTTCTAATAGGTAAACTAATTGTATTACCTTTGTTATTATATACATAGTTTATTGATATACATTGCTTCTACAAACAAGATTAAGTGTTGGATTCATTTGCTAGGACTAACGTGTGTTACTACAAATGCGTAAAATTATTATTAAGCTACTTAATCTACTGTGAAATCATTAAACGAGAGAGTTATCTACATTTTTAAACCTCCAAGGAAAAATAATTACGTTTACATGTATTTTTCTCCACATCTTCGCACAGTTGTGTAATCTGAAATTAAACAACTTATTAAAAAATTTCAATGTTGACTTGCATAATCATTCTTGCTAAAACATATATTTTTTCAAGGAACTGTACTTCTTTTTGACGGTTAAGCTTTTCCATTTAGTTTTATATTTTTCAGTAATGTGATAATAACAAACAAATTACAACGTTATTTGAGGAGTATGAATGTTTACTAGCAATTACCTATAGTGTTGTTGTATTTACCTTTTGTGACATGAATTGTGTTCCGTTGCAGCAAAAGTGAGCTCTGCACTTTGGGGGCTGAGTGAGTGATAAGAGTTATGGTCAAACTCCACTAATTGATCAGAGTATCCCAAAAGCTGGCGGTTGGCTATTGACTAGATGCCTTCAGTCAAATCTATAAGCTCAAATTTAGGAGCAGCTAGCTTTTGGCGCGAATATCCGGAACAAACCAACAAAACTTATGAAAGGCCACAGCAATTTCTTAATAATATTTTCTACTAAGACCAGCTTCTTACAAGATATATATTTGTATAGCTTGGCAAGAATATCCGAAACAAACAAACAAAACTTATGAGAGGCCACAGCAATGTCTTGATAATATTTCCTACTAAGAAAATCATTGTATTTTCTAGAACAAAAATATAAAGTTTCTAAGAAACTATACCTCTGCAGATACCATAGTCTACAGATGGTGATGAATATACACACTGTAACTGCCTCGTGGTGTCACATAGCTGAATTATACCACACAATTCCCCTTGTTGACGAGCACAGATTGAACAGCAGCCACATCCGTCCATAACGACTGGAACGCCCTCTGGGCACAACGCCAAGTTCCGCTCACACTGGCAGGGATATGCACAAGAGTTTTGTACCTGTTTGGATTTCAATGAACACAGGAGAAATTTTATTTAAATACTTGCTGAGTTTTGTCACAATCAAGCCCTTCCAAATAAAAAACTATTAATTACTTCGACTTCGATAGATATATTTCTAGACACTTGAGCAAACGGTTTGTTTATTGTTAAGGGCAAAACTATCAATGAGCTATCTGCGCCCACCACGAGTATTGAAACTAGATTTTTAGCAACATAAGCCCACAGACTTACCATTGAGCTATTTGGGAGCTCAGCAAACGGACAATTTAAAATACATTCCTTAATATTTTCATATTGAAGCACAAGTTGAAATCAAAAATAAAGTTAAATTAAAGATATAGCAAAAACACTTCCACAAATAAGTTACTCAGCAAGTTGCATTAATACGTGCATATGCCTTAGAACGTATATGTTATATTAATTAGTCCTCAGACAAACAACAGTAAGTCTGAGGGTTTATATCACTAAATATCTGGTTTTGATACCCGCGGTGATGAGAACACAGACAGCCAATTTCGTAACTTTGCGCTTAACAACAAATAAACTAATCTAAATTTGGAGAATATCATATACTTCATAATATTAGCTTATACGCTAAATATTTACATATTTATACAAACAATAAAAAAACAGACTTTTGATACCCTGAAAGGATACCATACGAACTGCTCTACATACAGGTAAACGTTAATGTTAATCCAGTTCTTCATCACCTCTTAGACATTTTCTACCCGTCCTACCACGGGTTTAACTTTTATAGAACACTAAATTTTTCAAAGGGCAGGGATCTATAAGATGAGAATTTGACAACTCTTCGAATCTATTTATTTAATACATACTGTGTTCACCTTACCCCACAAATGTTTAAAACCACAAAATTACCAGCAAGTTGCCTTTACTCTTGTCCATAGATTACCATAAAAATTTCGCATGTTATCTTCCTCAGGTGTTAATTTTCCACCTTTCGTCACTGTACGAGTCATCGGAAGGATCAATGATGATTGTTGCAGCATCCCGAACACATTCTTTTGAACCTGTAACCGTTGTGCTGTTTGAACCCAAGGAATCTCTTGACTGATGCTATGTGAGCACACCACTCCATTGCTTTTGCACTTGCTCGACACAGGCAAGTATAAAAGTGTTAATCTCTGAGTGTCATGGTAAAGCAAGAGATAGTAAAATTTACTTGAAGCATGGTGAGACTGAATTTTCATACACATGTCGTATAGGTCATCTTCAAAAAGATGTTATTTTACGTCTGTCTGTTTATTCCGGTTTGTACCGTGCGTCAGTGACCACAGACAACTGAGAAAAGTCTAAAACAATATTATCTGCATTAGCCTTTTTTCCACTTCAATTGTTTTCGTGCTGAACTATCGAATTATACAATCTGTTGGAGTGTAATGGTTTTTCATCACTTCGATCAATAGAATCAATTTCAGTGCTATTGATTCTACCATAAAGTACATATTTGAAAGGCCATCGTCACCAAAATTGAAATTGTGCAGCAATTTTGGGGGCAAAAACCTTAAGCTTTTACCAACTCACCCCATTCCAAAGTTAAGAAAAATGGCAATAAACATGATAACCTTATGCAATTTTATTCAAAACTTGTTCATCTGGCCTTTAATAATCTATATTATCGAAAAAATGGTCCGGTCATAGTTGGACGCTACGACGGACTTGATTTGTAACAAGCCTTGAAAGATTGGATCCCTTTGTAGGATACAGGTTACATCCCATGTGCAGAACGAATGGCATATATATATCCAAATCTAGTTTGTAAAGAAGAACCAAAGCGTCTTTAAATCCTTTAACCACGACACCCACTTCATATGGTTGTATTGAATTACAAATGTTTTCAACATCATTTCAGAGCAGGCAATATGTAATTGTTACATCATTAATTTACCCATCAATACGATACGAACCAAGGACTAAAAAATTTACCCATCAGTAGTTACAACCATTACTGGTTTGATAAGTGGCTGCTGTTTCTGCATACTGTAACCTCACTTCTGGAATGCAAACTTTACAGTTTTTCGGTATATACACGTACGTGCCATCTAAAACTAGAATGGCAACTTCATTGTTCCATTCTACCAAACGGTCTCACGTAAGAGAGTGGTTTAGTTTGGATGGTTTTGAATTTTGCGCAAAGCTACACGAGGGCTATCTGCTCTACCCGTCCCCAATTTAGCAGTGAAAGACTAGAGGGAAGGCAGCTAGCCATCACCATCCACCGCCAACTCTTGGGCTACTCTTTTACCAATGAATAGTGGGATTATCCGTCACATTATAACGCCTCCGCGGCTGAAAGGGCAAGCATGTTTGGTGGGACTAGGTCAAACGCCCTAAACACCTGGCCATGAGGGTGGATATCGTTAGATACAAATTATTGGTGACTAACATGTCGAAATCAAAAATATGTACAACAAATTGGTCACCAAACCAAAATGAGCCGAGTATATTTCTCCCCTTACTGTTTTTCGGTATTTTGCAAACCCATAAGTACGTTGGACAAGGCAGTATGGAGTTTGAAAAGGAGATTCACATACGGGTTCTTACAGTTCTTGCATCAGTGAAAAATAGAATTCCGAACAAAATGTCACCAGACTGAGACTTGCTTAGTTCCGTTTCATTAAAATATTCATCAACAGATCAATTCCATCAGTTCTGCCACAACTGACAGGTTCTTACATCTTTGTACTTATCGCCTAGCGCGTGTCGGATAGAAACATCTTTCTGACCAGCTGACTTTTTTGGAATTAATAAATCCTATCGTTAATGCGTCAAGTGGTATGACAGTCAGTCGAGCACATAACACATTTGGCATGAGTCTTGCCCGTTGAATTGTTGTTCAATCTTAAGTTCTTAAGGTTTGGTCATCTTGGTTTGCTCGAGGCTATCTGGGAATAAAAAGTGTGAAAAAGCATAGCTTGCATCATTTCTATCAGTTTCACTGTCAGCTAGAAAGGGGTCATCAGGTACACAATACTTAGAATAACATTAGTTAAATAATGAAGATGAAGACCGTTTATAAAACACAAAACATTTTATTTACAAGGCTCGAACCTTTTCGGGATACACTCATTCCATCTTCAGCGAAATCTGAAAATCGTGTTATTAAGATGATTATTTACTAAAACTATAATATAATAATCACTAGTTTACTTAGTTATTAAGAGGAGTGGTAAACGGAAGGATAAAACAAAGGATTATAGATACAAGGAACAACAGTTGAGTTTAAGTGTGAAAAGTTAGAACGATTTTAGATCTAAAGAGCTTTGTGAGTCGTTAAGAGTTGAGCGGTCTTTAGCTACTAGTAAGCTTTCTTTAATGTAGAGTTTAAGATCTGAAGATACTGTGATGATGACAGAGAAATCGTTAAATGAAATATTGTGACCTGTGATTTCAGAATGTGAACGAACAGATGAGTGATTGGGTTTAAGTAATGGACGGTCGTTTCTGTTAGATACTCCTGAATGTTTCGTTTTGCCTATGTACATGACCGTACGTGACCTTACAGTCACTACACGTATATATATATATATATATATATATATATATACACACACACACACTGGCTGGTGGTTAAAATTTGTTGTTTAAGAACTTGTGTGTAATCTTCGTTAGAAAATTAGTCGGATAACCGTTATGTAACACGTGTTTGTGTATAAGGGTAAGTTGTTCGTATAAAATAGAATAATTCGAACAAAGATTAAAAATGCTGTTTAACAATGATATGACTAGATTACGTTTGAAAATTGATGTAGAGGCCTGTAAAAGTATTCTTAAGCTCCTTACCTTATCCTTAAACTCCTTACCTTATCCTTAAACTCCTTACCTTATCCTTAAACCTCTCGACTTGAACGAGTTTACAATTAACGATTCTTTTACCTTTGATTCTGAAATATCTAAAATTCCCAGTGCTGAACAATATGTTATGGGCAGTTTTGATATTGAATATCTTACTACCAATATTCCCCTTGATTGAACTTCAAATTTAAACGTGGACCTTATCTCTCCCACTGACACCGAACAGTATCTTGGTTTCACCTGTAAACAATTCCTGGAACTTCGTGTTCTCTCCACAAAGTTAAACCATTTTCTTTTTAATTTGTGGTTTAAGAACTTGTGTGTAATCTTCGTTAGAAAATTAGCCGGATAACCGTTATCTAACACGTGTTTGTGAGTCGTTAAGACTCGGGCGGTCTTTAGCTATGACTTTCTAGATTCCTTTCTAGCCTTAATTCTCAAAACCCCAATATGAAGCTCACATCCGAACTCGGAGAAAGTTATTCCTTACCGTTCCTAGACGTCAGGATTACCATAGAAGGTAAATATGTTTCTACGTCTGTTTATCATAAAATAACTTTTACTGGCCTTAACACCAAATTTAATAGTTTTATCTCCAACTTCTTCATATACATAGATCTACAATATTAATTTTCAAGGCAAATTATTTGATAAAGAAGATTACAAAGAACATCTGCGTCTTGTTTCGAGAGGGTCTAAAATGCCTGAAATGTTATAGACAGATTGCATTGGCTGATTTAACTTTTAATATTCAAAAACCCCTGTTATAAGATAATGTCAATCACTCTCCTGTAAACCCACTGTTATTAAAAGCAAGCGCATCTGATGATTAGTCTTGTGGTCTGAAACGCAGATAGTTCCATGATAAGCACATATTTATTTTTGGTTTTCATTTATAAGTAAAAGCTTCATCTCATAGACCCGTATCCGCTTTCTTTGTGGAGATGGTGTAAAATGTACTTACCAATATTTACTTAAAATATGCTCATGCTTTTACTTTTTTGTAAATACGTCTTTCCTTATTTAACGAATTTGAATATTAAAATAATACGTATACATATGTTTCTGTTTCATTAACCTCAGTTTTATATGGATAGAAATTGGTGTAGAAATTCATAAAGAATATAGACAAACAAATAAAAAACATTGGTATTTTCAATCTGAGCAGCACAATCTGC